CTCAGCACTTTAAATTTCAAGCATATGCACATCATCCCTTTCTGTTTTATATAATATGGACAAGCAAGATTCCCTGCGATTAAAGCCAAACATCACCTCGATGGGATTATCTAAATTGGTTCACGAAATGAATTAACGCTTCTCATCGGCTGCAACTTCCCCCCCCCCCCCTCTCGATTTCTCCCTCTACTAACTTTAATTCATCTTTAATCTAAAGGGCCAATTGAATACTAAATATTTTATAGTACTTAATTAGAATTCTCATTATAGAAAAATATTCCCAAAGTAACAGAATTTTTAATAAGATTATAATTTTCAGTAGAGAAAGAATAGTTTTATAGACAGACAAAAAAGTACTAAACAGTTTTTGGTATAATAAGATAGACTTTTTAATTTTTATGTCAGCAGAAAAATACAGTTTCTGTCAGACAAAGAATTTATAAACCTAATTTTGCCATCAGTGATACAAGTAACTAATAGTCAGACATTTGAAATCGGAATTTTAATTCAGTAGTAAACTATAGTTATAGTCAGACTAAAAGTTCAAAGTATAGTTACAGTCAGATCTAAACTTTTTTATAAAGATCAAAGTTCATTCAGAATAAGTAGTAAAAGACAATTTCAATCAGACATAATATTCTTAATGTATTTTTGTTATTAATAAGAAAATTGCAGTCAAACCTTAAATTTTCATTTAATACTTTTTTTAGTAGTAAAAGAAAGTTTTAGTTTTTATTCTTTATTTCTTTGTAAACTTTATGACAGTAGAATAAGCAAACTTCAGTCAGACAAAACATATCAGGAAAGTTTAATAAATGATTTTAGTCAATAGTGGGCTAACAGTAAAATTTACTATTTTTGGAGTGTATTTTCCAAAATAAGAACTATTATACTTTTTCATAATTTGACCCTAAATAATAATTTAAATTTAGTTTTAATAGTAGAAGTTAATTCTTATGTAAAATTTTTATCAGTAGAAATATACAGTTTTAGTCAGACAAAGAATTTATAACGTAATTTTGCTAACAGCAGTACAAGTAAATAATAGTCAGAGATTTGAAAATGTCGCAATTTTAATTCAGTATACTGAAAAAAAAATTTAATTGATTCAAATAACCTATTAATTGACTATTATCAATTAAATATTTAATTGAATCAAATAATATTTATTGGTGTCAATTAAATGGTATTTGAACCAACAATTTCAGTATTTGAATAAAGTACCATTTAATTGACTCCAATAAATATTATTTGATTCAATTAAATATTTAATTGGATAATAGTCAATTAATCGGTTATTTGAATCAATTAAATTTTTTTTCAGTGTAGTAAACTACAGTTATAGTCAGACTAGAAATTCAAATTACTGTTCTTTTGGTGTCAGTAGGAAAAGCAAATTTTAGCTAGACAAAAAATTTTTAGAACGAATTTTGATATCACAAATGTCATTCAAACTAATACTTTCCAATTTAATGTTTTTTTATTAATATTTTTTACCACTAGTACAACAAACATTAATTTAACTAGACAAAAATTGCCAACTATTACAATTTTTGAGTTAGTAGAAAAGTACAGCCGCTGTCAGATGAAGAATTTCTAATCTAATCAGTACACGGAGAGAAGAGTTGCAGTAAATGTGACAGAACGCGTTTAGTAAATCATTTAGTGCACCGGTTAGTGGCGCCAACTGTATGTTTAGTATAATACACTACGACACCTCTCTGTTTAGTAGAATATACTGTTTGCTCAGTGTATCTTACTATCTTACTAAACAGTGCAGTAGATGGCACTGTCTGTACCGTCAGTCCAAACCTAATGATTCTGTTTAGTAGATTTAACTGCCATGTCAGTAGAATCTACTACGCCCTTCTCTCCGTGTAGTAAAATCCACTTTAAGTCAGACAAAGTAATTCAAAGGGAATGTGAATTCTTATAAGTGAAAGTGACTTAACGTCATACTATCCAAATTTTTACTTTGTCACAATGACGAAGGACAGTTTTTTCCTGACAAAAAATTGCAGTGTCAGTAATAAAAATCATTTTTGATAGACAGATTCTACAGAATTTTTTTCTATTAGTCAGAGCTCTAAATTATTTTATGCATTAGTAGCAACGTACATTTTTAGCCAGACAATACTTCCAGAAAAATCAGGTTTCAGTGGAAAAAATTGTTTGAGTCAGCCAAGGAAATTAAGAAAATTTTACCTTAAGTAGTAATTGGGGCATTCCACGCCAAGTCGGACACCTTTTGACTTTTGCATCTCCGATTTTTTTCAAATATTTTTTTTCTTTTAGTGCTGGTTGAAAGGAACTTCCATGATTTTTTTCAAATTTTTTCATGAAGTAATTTAAGAGATCTGGGTTTTTGAAAAATCACGTTTTTTACATAAATTTTTTTTTTAAATGCTTATAACTCGGCCAAAAATTGATCAAATTTGACGTTCGATATATGAAAATTTTTGTTTTTACACGTAGTTTTTGATAAAAATATTTTTAAAAAAATTTTTTTTAATTTACCAAAAAAATTTTAAATTTTAAAAATAAAATTTAATTTTTAAGAATGTATGTATCGATCGATTTTTTTCAAAATTTTTTGTAAGAAACTGGTACTAAATTAAGAATTTTTAATCCTTGTCTGATTGTGGGCAAACGATGGGATCTATTTATTTTGTAATTTTTAATTTTTGTATACGCAGTGAAAACGGTAGGTAGCCAAATGCGTAACTTGACATTTGACCAAATCACGCAAATTTTTCAAACCAAAACTGTTTTCAGACTGAGTCTCTCCGAACTTAACCTTCTTACTGTTTAAAAAAGTGATTTGATCAAATTGCAAGTTAGGCATTTGGCTACCTACCGTTTTACAAAAATTAAAAATTTGAAAATAAATAGATCCCATCGTTTGCCCACAATCAGACAAGGATTAAAAATTCTTAATTTAGTACCAGTTTCTTACAAAAAATTTTGAAAAAAATCGATCGATACATACATTCTTAAAAATTAAATTTTATTTTTAAAATTTAAAATTTTTTTGGTAAATTAAAAAAAAAAATTTTTTTAATATTTTTATCAAAAACTACGTGTAAAAACAAAAATTTTCATATATCGAACGTCAAATTTGATCAATTTTTGGCCGAGTTATAAGCATTTTAAAAAAAAATTTATGTAAAAAACGTGATTTTTCAAAAACCTGTATCTCTTAAATTACTTCATGAAAAAATTTGAAAAAAATCATGGAAGTTCCTTTCAACCAGCACTAAAAGAAAAAAAATATTTGAAAAAAATCGGAGATGCAAAAGTCAAAAGGTGTCCGACTTGGCGTGGAATGCCCCAATTGTAAGTTACATTCGAATATTAATTTTTGTTTTTTTTTAAATCAGTAGTAAAATCCACTTTATGTCAGACAAAGTAATTCGAAGGAAATTGTACCTAAATTCTAACAAGTTAAAACGTCATACTATCCAAATTTTTATTTTCTACCAGTAACAAAGGTCAGTTTTATCCAAAACAAAAGTTTTCAGTATCAGTAGTGTAAGACAGTTTCAGTCAGACAGTTTCTAAGATATTTTTTCAATTTTCCCCAGACCTCTAAATTCTCTTATTTTTTAATGTAATTATTTATCCAGACACTATTTTTCAAACATCTGGTTTCAATAGAAAAAAAAAAGTTTTCGTCAGCCACGGAATTTATAAAAATTTTAATATTAGTTGAAATTGTAACTTATATTCACATATTAATTTTTGTTTTTTTAATCAGTAGTAAAATTCACTTTAAGCCAGACAAATTAATTCAAAGGGTATGTGGATTCTAACAAGTTAAAGTAACTTAACGTCATACTATCAAAATTTGTTTGGATCAGTAATAAAGTACAATTTGACCCAGACAAAAGTTTTCATTATCAGTAATGTAAGTCAGTTTTAGTCAGACAGTTTCTAGGGTATTTTTTCGATTTTCACAGACCTCTAAATTTTTCGCTAAAATGTTTCAAAAAAAATGTTTTCAATAAAAATGTCCAACACTGCATTCTATTCAAAAATTTCTTTTATGAATAAAAATTCAATTAAATACAGAAACAAGTGATAAATTCAAATATAAAAAAATCCGAATGAGTCTATTTACTTCAGGATATCAGTACATAGTCTGATAAAAAAAACTTGCTATCGAATTGAATTGCATTGGATGACAGTAATTTACAGAAGCTCGGCGTCACTTTTACTACTCGTTTTGTTTTCTTTTTTTTTTTTGTTTTTTTGTTTTTTTCTATCAGAGATTTTTACGGGAATCCATTACCCAGAGATGGTGTAACCCGGACCATCTCCGAGGCCGACTCGTCACTGGCGCCACTTTATGACCAAAGAGTCATTTATAATTCGCGGTGTAGGACTGTGATTTTTCACTTTTATCGCATTTTTGTTACAACCCTCTCTGATTCAGTGTATGCTACGGACAGGCAAAGAATAATACACGAAAGAACGTTGGGAAAATTAATTATTACTCACTGGATAGTCGAGAGAGAGGTTGAGAGAGTTCATAGACTAGAACGCAGTACATTTGTCTTTCTCAAATGAAAATGTACTTAATGTTCTCGAAATTTTGTGTCACTATTCGAAAAATAAAAACCGTTGCCATTTAAGAATAAAATTAAAATACGAAACTAACGATCGAAATTTTAAAAAAAAATATTATTTATGTCATATTTATTGACCAGCTATGCTAAATAACCTTGGTCACAAGTAAATAAAGTCCTTATTATTACCCTAGAGTAGTAATGAACACTTTATTTACCAACTATGCTATATCACCTTCCTCACAGGTAAATACTCATTATTACCCTAGAATAATAATGGTCACTTTATTGAATAGTTATGCTGTGTGACCTTTCTCATCGGTAAGAAAAATTATTACCCAAGGGTAATAATGGGCATTTTATTAACCAACTGGGCTACATGAATCCAGAGTTGAATAAAAAATGTTTTAAATAAAAAATTTAAATATTTACCATCGATGAAAATGGATGACGCCCGATTGGAATCCTTCCAAATTCGAAGAACACAACACATTCACTAAATTTATTTTTATACTTTTAAACGCGCACTGATTCCAGAATGATTGATAAATTATTTAAGTGTTTTAGGTTGCAACAAATTACTCGTGACGTTGGAATCTAACAGGCAATATTTTTTAATCTATAAAATTATTACTTTCAAAGCAACCAAAATAAAAAAAAATTTTTACAGAAATTATCAAAGCATGCTTTTTCATTTTTTGTATTTTAAACTATTTTTCTAAACCATCAATTGTATTTCAATAGAAATTTTCAATATTTCTTAAAAAAGGTTTTAACTTCAATTAAATTAATATTTTTTAAAAATAAATTCAGGCTTCGCATCATCTACAAAAAGCAACTACTTACTACTTTTTTACTATTTGCTACTGTTTGGATAATTTGTTTTAAATTTGTGACACTAAAAACTTATTTTTTCTTTTTTTTAAATATTTTTAACCCGCTAATAGTTAAAATAATGAAATTAAAATGTGACGTGCTCCCAAGAAAGGAACCTAAGTTGCAAAACATTTTAGGTTATGTTTATAATTTCTGACGTAAAAATACAAAAAAAGAATAAAATAACAATTACAAATTATTAATGTTTCAGTCTTCATTGCATTTAAAATATTCAATAAAAAATGTTTTCAAATTTATATAATTAAAAAGAGGCTTTTAATCAAGATAAATCTAACACAAACATAACCATTAAATTTTTTGCTTCTTCAGGGTGTCTAACAAGGATTGAGAAAATAATTCCCTGACTTTTCCCTGGCTTTTTCCCTGACTTTTTACTAATTTTATTTCTGCTTTCTAGGGACAAAAATATGGTAACTGACATATATTTAACAATAAATTAAAATCTAAAAAAAAAATTAACTAAAATTATCAAAAATTCGAAAAACCGAATTTCTTAAAATTCAACATTTTTTCTTCTCTTTTATGTCATTTAGCTTCACTATTTTTGGGCTCTTCAAAAACACTTTACTTATTTAATAGTCTTCACCCTTTGATAAAAAATTTAAAATTATTAAATATTTAAAATTATTCAAAAAACCGAATTTCTTTAAAATTTAACATAGAAAGAAACGATAATAAAAATCTTCTAAGTTTAGTTAGATTAAACAAATTTTTTACTCACAAAAATTTTAATTTTCGTATAAATTTTTAGAAATTTCCCTGCCTTTCTTAGGTACTTTTATTTGGAGCTTGTCACATATTTGTTTTCTTCAAAATAATCTTAAATTCAGGAATCACCTATTCACATCGTTTCATTAATATATAAAAATTGTGTTACTAAACTTTATTAATCCCAATTAATATTATAATCTTGTCAAATTTTAATCCATTCAAATTTCAAAAACTATAAAAATTTTAAGAGTGGACAAAAAATTGCAATTTAAAATTACATTAAAAAAATAATAATTATTTTACAAGTTAATTAGTTTTATCTTACATTTTTAGCACTTTTTTTGGAAAAATTATTCCTTTCATTCTATTAGAATAACAAATATACTGGAGTGATTACTGCAACATTATTTTTGAGTTAGACTTTTATTGACATTTTTTATGAATTTTGACTTTTAGAGTTGTCACGGGACAGTAAAATAAGAAAAGTAGGGAAATTTTATCAAAAGTAGTAGAAAAGTAGTAGTAATTGTAGTAGAAAAATATCAAATTATTGAAAAACTCAAATTTATCTTTGAATTTTCTTCTCACTTTAAAAACTTTACAAACAGAAAAGAGTGCCACAGTTGCAATTTTTAGAAAGATTCAATTACTTTATCAGTTATTTATTTTTGTATTTACATAACTAAATTTTCCTAAAATTATCTGATAAGAATTGATTTAAAATAGAATTTTAACTTAAATTTTAGAAAATAATTGAATATTAGCTTTATAAGTTTGTTTCAGAAATAATTAAATTTCAACAGGCTTTTAAAATTTTAATTTTAATTTTAATTTTTAATTAAAAATTTTAATTGCTGTAAAAACATAATTTAAATATTTATTTTAAAAATAATTAACTTATATTCCAAGAAACTTATTAGTTTTAAATAATTTTATTTAGAAACTTTTAAAAATAGAATTTCGAAAAAATTGCCTTTGTAATTTTTTAGAATTAAGTTTCAAAACGTTTAACATTAAAATTATTTAAAATTTCAATTCCAATTCAATCAAAAATAAATAACAATAAGAATTTTAATCTTTATTTAGCAAAAAATTTTATTGAAGTTTTGAATAATTTAATTTAGAAATTCTAAAGAAAATAAACTTTTTAAAAAATTGTAATTAAAATTTTTTGTAATCATTTAAATACTCAAAAATAATTTTAATTGAAACATTTGAAAATTTTGTCAAATTTCACTGAAACAAATTTTAAATTTTAAAGAAATTAATTTTTTTTACTTTTCAAAATTATTTTGAAATATAATCGTACTTTTGAAAAATTTGGAAAATAATTGCTAAACAATTTAGAATTGCAGTTATTACTAGTATAAAGAGAAGTTAATATTCTTTCTGTGAATCAGGAAAATTCATAATGAAATTTACTACTTTATTTAAATTTAATTAACGAGTGCGAAGCCTGATAATTAAATACTAATTAATATTTTCCAAATATTACTGTAAAGAATTTAACAATTAGCTAATTTTCATTAGAATTAGATTAATTAGAATTAGTTAGAATTAAAGTTCTCAAATAATAGAATTTAAATTACTGATTTTGTCAAGAACAAAATTTACCTTTTTAGGTAAAAGCAAAACTGTTGTAATCATCTTTCAAGTATAGTAAATTATATCAAAATAAAAAACCACGATGAAAATTTAACAGAACCAACTAGTCACTCATAATTTGTAACATGTCCACAACACTGATTAATTAGAAACCACTTTAAAAGTTCATTAACTTTCAAAAAAACTAACTAAACAAGACATAAATCAAGCAAAACGGTTTAAGAACGCGCACAGACTCTAAACTTTCTCTAAGTTGGCCCTTAAAAAAACAAATAATTGTGTAGTAACAGTAATAATAAACTAAAACAATCTTATTTAAATATTATAACAACCATGTGAAAAAGTTACCAACAATTTACCTGGAGTAAAAATAAAAACCAACAAATTTCAGAAAGTGATTCCCGGTAATTTTTTCCATTGGGCATTATAATGCATATAATTCTTATATTTTTATAAGATATATTTACTTTTAATTTAATTTAATTTAATTTAATTCTATTTAATTGTGAATTCAAACAAATAAATTAACTTTTTTAGTAATAAAAATAAAATTAGAAGAATGCTTACAATTTCGATGGATCGCCTCCAGCAAAGACAACGATTCCCAGTTAAGTGACAATGATCTTCGAGTCAATCGTCCTCAGAGATCCCTTCTATAATAATTAATCGAAATATAAGAATTCCGAAAACAACAATTTGTTGTAAGAAGACCGAGGCCTCATGACTCAAATTTCTCGTTACTGGGATTTGAAATTTCGCGACCGAAAAGTGACAAACGGAGGAGGAATCTGAAAATCAAAGTATATAATTTTATCAATTTTAGAAAAAAATTATTGAAATTTCAAGAGGAAAAAATTAATACTACACATATAAATATTATGCAAAAAAAATATAATAATGAAATTAAGTACCTATAACAATTATTTACAAATAATGAGTATTGTGTACGAATAATAAGCCTTATAAATGTGCACATAAAATCACAATTTTTTCTTGACAAAATAAAAAAAATTTCTAATTCACATTTATTTAAACATTTTAAACACAACTTATTAAAATTAAAAATTTAAAGTTTAAATAGTATAACAATATTTTTTACCTACGTAAATTTCTATACAATGCTAAACAACAATAATAAAATAAAATTCAAAATTTCATTTTACTAAATATCTTGATTGAATTCTGTAAATTTTTTCAAAAAACAATTTAGAATTATTAATACTTTTCGCCCACGAAATAATAATTTTGTTAAGTATCTATTATTTAATAAGCAGATTTAAAAAAGATACTCTTTTGATACTTTTTACGAAATTTTGTAGAAAAAAAAGTTTCTTTTGATTTTAACAGGAAATTAAAATTTGGTTAAAGTATTTACTTTAAAGATAAATTAATTTATTTCCACAATAATATATTTAATTAAAAAAAGTTTATGAGGGATAAAATGGTTGTTTACTTTCTCAACTTGAGAACGCCAAGGTCATCACTAGGTGGCGTGAAATTTAATTTTATCAACTGAACTGACATCTAGCGGTGACCTTGGCGTTCTCAAGTGAAGAGTAGCATCTCCATATTGAATCTCAAGATGTTTGTAATTTTACAATTATTATTTATGATCAAAATCCAGAAAATTTATAGATTTCTAGATCAGAAATCCAGAAACTTTTCTTAACAATTAAGAAAAATGGATTTGAATTTTGAATTCACTTTAATTTGCTATTTTTATCTTCTAATTTTTAAGGTTTGTCTTTACTTTTTAGTGACACTAACACAGTTTTTAAAGATATCAAATTGAGATAAAAAAAACCCCTCAAAAACGTTACATCGCAATAATTTTGATACGTTTTTTGTCTCAATTTGATATTCTTAGACAAACTATGAAAAATTAAAAAAAAATAAGAAAAAATAATATATCAAACTGCACTCACCAAATCCATGAAATGCCAGGAACAAAATCGATCCCATCAAAACGAAACTCCTGTAGACGATGTTGATTTTCCAAATCCAATGGAATAATAACCAAAGAAAGAATGTCCCAAATGGACTCCATAAATAAAGAAATCTGCAACATATGAAGAATAATTATTAAAAATGTAATCTTAGATGCAATAAATTAAAACTAAAGAAAAGCAAGAAAAAATTACAATTTTAACTTTAGCATAAATTTAAGGGGGAAGGTAAAGTTAATTCGGTGAAAAAAGGCATGTTTTAAGAATTTTTTTTCTCGATGCAAAGGGTTTTGATTTATTATACCAATTTCCATAAAATAGGGAAAAATTTGGACAATATTTTTGTAAATTTGCCTTCATAAATATTAAAAATTGAGTTGATGGTGGTAAATCGGCTTTGCAACAGAGAACTTATTTATATTTATGTAAACAAGATTTGAAATTATTTACAAGTTTGTGTGACAACATGTTACAAAGATATTATCCCTTGGTTCCTCAACCGAGACAAGAGTTTAGAAACCCATTAGGAAATTAGGCTAGTGGGCAAAATACACACCGAACAATGTTCAAGATTAGTATGCGAGTAATCAAATTTCTAAAGTGTGTTTCACAATTTAATGTAGCGTCACTATTTTGAATTGCCTCTATTCATTATCACTAATAACAATTTCCAGAATTTATTCTACAAAGTTATTTTTACATATTGTACGAAATGTTCCAATTAAAAATGACTTTTTTAATGAATTAACAATAAAAAGAACTAATTTCTTTCCATTTAAATAGAAATTTCAAAAAGAATTTAATTATTTAAAAAATATCCCTCGTAGCGAAATTTTTCCCTTATTTTAAAATGTATCTTTGAAAAATATCTATTAAGAGAGAGGAAAATTTATCAACAAAGTAATATTTAAGTCACTTCTAAATTATCATAAAAAAAAGAATTTTTACCCAAGAAGAAAGCCTTGTAATCCTCCTAATTCTACTTCCCTAGTTTCATGAGGACAACATTTATGATGTACGGCATAATTACGGCGATATTTTAAATGAAAAGAAGACACCGTGTCCCTCTCTCTCTCTCCCTCTCACGAGACTCCTAATGCCTTACATTATTTCATTTTAAAAGGATTCTTGTGTACTTTTTTCTCCTCAATGTGAATATAAAAACTAAGCATATAAAATTTTTCGTTTGGACCTAATTTCTCCTAATTATTTCCGCACGAAATTTTTAAGTCATAAAAACGAAATTTGGTATAGTTAGAAACAGAAAAGAACAAAACAAAACAAAAATAAATAAAATATACAAAAACAGGGTTGCCACAAAAATTTAATTTTGTTTATCCCTGACTTTTTCCTGACTGATTTGGACTTTTTCCCTGATCTTAAAGAACATTCTGATTCACTCTAAAAATTATTAGATACCTACTCAAAAAAATGTCCTTTTACATTTATTTTCAAATTTCTTTAATTGTAAAATTATTCGAAAACATTCATAACTTCTTTTTTAAATAAATATTTTTTAATCATTATTATTTTTCTATAGGAATTAAGATTTTCAAATTCAAACCTTTTGAAATTCAATACCTTATGAGAATATTATTATAATTATAAAACATGAAGAAATCGATCACTCCGAGTCTTCGACTCGGAGTTATCAATTTCTGTACTTTATTCTGAAATATTCCTTACATTTTACAAAACTCAGTTTTTTCTAATAATCTGTATCCGCTACTCCGTAACAGTTTTGTAAAATCTGCTAAATTAATTTTTTTCGTGTAGAAAGTAATAATTGAATTGAAATGATTAAAATAGTTTCATGTTCTATAATAAATAAATATTCTGATAAGTTGTTGAATTTCAAAAAGGTTTGAATTTGAAATTTTCGAAAATCTTAATTCTTATAGAAAAATAATATAATGATTAAATATTTATTTAAAAATGAAGTTATTGATGTTTTCGAATAATTTTACAATTAAAGAAATTCTTAAATAAATGTAATAGAACATTTTTTTGAGTATCTTATTTTTAGAGTGAATCAGAATATTCTTTAAGGTCAGGGAAAAAATCAAAATTGTCTCAGGGAAAAGTCAGAAAAAACAAAATTAAATTTTTGTGATAAAACTGCTTTTTCACTCCGCACTTTTTTAGGGCACACACTAAAAAAATGGGAACTTGTGAGAGAAATTTAATTTCTGTTTTTTTATATTTTCTGCTCTTGTCTTTTGCTCCGCCTATCGGTTCTTTAATTTAGAGTGGGGAGATGAGAGCAAGTGAGACAAACTCAACTTTGCGCCTTTTTCGCTCCCCACTCTCTCCATACGCTCCGCCTCTCGTTTCATTTTCACAGAGTGGGGAAATGAGTGCGAGAAGGACAGTATCAAGTAGCAAGCGAATAACAAAGAGAATAAATTGTATCTACACTTTTTTGAAATTTAATCATAAAAGCTAACTGCATTGGGATTTAAATATGAGGCATTCGGAGAGAAGTGACATTAAACTAATGTGTTTCGTTGTAAGTGCTTGCTCTCCGTCTCGAGAATACATGCTTCCCAACGCTTCAAGCACTTTGGAGAAGATAGTCAGTACATGTATGTATATAAGGACCGACAGGGTCAGAGGTGTACATTGGCGCCTACAAGTGTTGGCAAATTAGATTATACATGACCTCACCCTCACCTTGTACCCTTTTTTTTTATTTTTTTCCTCCAGACATAAGAAGGAAGGAAAACATTGTACTCTCCCGGCTAATAAGTACCGTAAGTGCACACAGAATCGATATCCTCTTTAGGAGAAACGTGATCCTAAAAATAAAACTCTTTTTTTCTGCTCTTGAACTAAATTGAGAAAATTTGGAAATTTCTCTCTTTCTCTTCAAGGGAAGAAATTTATTTAATTATGTAAATAAGAAAAAAAGAGAGTTAATATTCGAACTACAATTTTTTTTTATTTTTTCGTCTTTAAGTAGAGTTTGTTTAATTAGAAAAAGGGGATAAAAATGAATTTGGATTGGAGAAATTGTTCTTTTAATATGGGTTGCTTCTGCTCGGTTTTATATGAAAGTCACAAGAGACTCGCACGCATTTCACTTTAAGTCCAATTCACAATTGCTATCGAGTACAATATACAGTACGTAAGCACACATAAGAACATTTATAGGTGCACAGAAGGCTGGCTTCAGTTGTAAAGTTGCCTGGCAAAAAGCTTTTTTGTATTTCAAGGAGGGGGGTTATAGAGTGAAGCGAGACGAAAGAGCAATGCATTATGCAACAACTGTTTGAAGTTCTCTTTTTTTTACACTCGACCGCTAAAAACTCGGATGAAACAAAAGAAATCACTATCAAGAAATATTCTGTTTTTTTGTTCTTTTTTCATATTTATAACCTTTCTTATTATATATAATTCAAAAACTTTTCTTGAACTTTATAATTCAAAACTATAATTTTTGGTTTTCTTTACTTTTATATTCTTATTTATGGTTTTTCAGGGTTGCCACACACACACCCTGAGAAAAATATAATTTCTGTAATTTCTCCTGAAATATTCCTTACATTTTACAAAACTCAGTTTCCTAATCTGTATCCGCTACTCCTTAACAGTTTTGTAAAATCTGTTAAATTTATTTTTTCCGCGTACAATTTTTAACTAAAATTTATTCTTCTGTAAATCAATTGGTTATGATAATTTTTGAAAAAGTTCTTTGAGAATTTTCAATACCATTTGTTTACAATTCAATTTTACTAAATTTTAATTATTCATAAATTCTTCAATTAAATATATTTATTAGAAAATAAAAACTTCAAATAATAATTTAAAAAAAAAATTCAATTAAACTTTTT